CTCGAAAGACACCGCGTTCTACCGTCGTGGGATTGCCCTGTTGCCGGAGAGATAGGAAAAAGTAGTAGAAAATGGAGGAAATTACTTTGATTAAGGTATTCATTCATCTTCCTTTCGAAACAAATCGATTTTCGAGACGAAAAAACGATATGAATTAAGTTTAACACCTAATATTAAAAATATAAAAATAACGATTTTTCTCACCAGTTACTAAATAATCCGCAGCAGTTCCTGTATTCATAATATTAAGAGGAATAGCTGCAAAAATGGCAGTACCGCCTCCTTGCATGAACAGGATTTTATAGTTGTCAGGAATATTGCTTTAAAAAACAAAAATATGTAAGAATTAATAATTTACGAGAAGCATTTACAAACAGAGTATATAATCTCATTTTGTTTTAAACAGTCTCGAAAAATATATAAAATACAGAAAAACATTTTTAAAAAAAGTTGTGTGACTTAGAGGAGCGCAAATAATGATAAAATCAGTTTTCAAAAAATTTTAATACTTTAAAATCACATAAAAATTATTGTTACTTTTTACAAATGGAATTATATAATTTATATTATGTAACATATATCCTATAATTTATTCATATAAAAGTATTGAGGTAGAAATATTGAAAAATCCAAATAATTTTCGGGTTATTTTATACATATTCTGTCACATGTTGAATGAAATATAAAATATCTCGATTCATTTTTTTATCATTGTACATTAATATTTCTATGCAGAATAACAAGATGAATCAATTGGTATAAAAAAAGACACATAGTTGCTTATTTAAAAAATTACGCATTTTGCAATATTTAACTATATATTTTTTTTTAAAGCATGTGTGTTTTTACACCAATTGAATTATTTGATTATTCAATGCATAAAAATATTAAGATTGTTAAAAAATTAATAGTTCACGGGATATTCTAAATTTCATACCAATATATGGTAGAATAAAATAAAAAATAATCACAAAATTATTTTGATTTTTCTATATCTCTACCTCAATGCTTTTATATGTAGCAAAAGTTAGAAGAATTATACAATATACGTATTGTTACGTCCAGTGGATTCCACAATTTTTTGTTTCGTGAACGTTTGACAAAGGAATCAGTTAGGATAAAGCATAAACAAAAACTAAGCGTTAACGATCACCGATCGGCGAGCGTGAAAATATTTAAAGAACGTGTCGTTAGAAACCTTCCCAACGATATTGGAAAAATAAGCAAAAACATAGATACTCAAAATCGCCTGATCCACGGTAATAAAATTTATGACAAAGATTACAAACCATATAGAGAAAATACTGTTTAAACACGATCGATTTTAACAAATACAGGATCTTGTAAGGAATCGTGGATAGCGAGAGAGAGAACAGCGGGTAGAGGTCTGCGATAGGGGGAAGAGAATACAGAGAGGCAGACGGATGAGAGATGGGAGAGTAGAGATTGAGAACAAGAAGAGAAGAAAAGGAGAAGTCAGTCGAGACTCGAACCACGCTCGAAATACAGACGACTAAGCGACTAGGAGGACTACCTCCCGGAAATTAGAGTAGAGACTGAGCTTAATTGTAGTCAAGGACAAGGCGTTAAATTTTGAATCCTGTTGGAAATAAAGGGTTTCACACATGAAATGCATAACAGAGCATAAGTATAACATAAGGCTGCTAAACCAATGAGCATCTTATGTAAATCAATATGGCGACATTATGGTAGATGCTCATTGGTCCAGCAGTCTTATGTTATGTTTACGCTCTGTTATGCATTCCGTGTATGAAGCCCTTAAATCGTTGAAATCGCTGAAAATCGCTGAAATCTCTATCAATTAACTCATTTCATTATGAATTATACTGAAATGGATCTATTGATAAAGATTTCATTGATTTATTTTCACAAAGAAACATTAACGTTTGAAATCAATGTTTAATCTGTTGGGACCTTGAATAAGTTCTCGCTGTTTTCCAACAGATCGCGTTAACAGAACTGCGTGCGGGTAGTTGAAGATGGGAACATATCGATAAGGAACTATGATAAGCAAGCTTGAAATTCAGTGTATGTCATCTCGCCGAAGTGTAAACAACTTTTTAAAAGAAATTAATAAAAAGCATACAGCCACAACGCCAGTTAAAATTAGCAAAAAATATATTTAATTTACATTAAGTAAACGTTTCGGTCACCATCTGACCATCATCAGTACATCAATTTTAATAATAAACCCATATATAAATTATTAAATACCAATTATACAGATCAAAAACGTTATTATCGTTCACGAAAAATATAATTCTTTTAACATAAAAATTACGCCAGTCAAAAGTAAGAAGTCACTTCCAGTCCAAACATAAAAGAAGACCTTATAGGCAGTTGTTCATCGAAGTCAATTTGTTAATATGTAAATTATATCCATTTAAATGTGCTATTGCCAGATGCTAATTATTCAAATAATAATTATAACCAAAACCAAAAACATAAAAAAATGAAAAAAACTTTTTTAGAACTATATTATGTTTATAATCTCTTCATATAAAATCAATTATTTTAATATAAACAATTATACAATTCAATCAACTCACCACATATTTGTAGATACATGTATTAAACCAAATCATCAACAGATTCATCTTCCACAATCGAACTATCTCAGATTCTGGCTGAACAGATTTCCAAATATAAAACTTATAATTTTCAAACAAATCATCGTTATACTGAGAGCACTTTCAAAAGGTAAGCAACTTGTGACCGCTTACCCGTGTACAGGTCGTATTTATCTTTTATTGTTAGACAAAGAAAGTAGAGATCTAGAAAGAGTCAACCAATATTATGTGAGAGAGGGGCATTGGCTGATGATCG